TTCATTGTGTCATTCGAGCCTCACACCAAAGCCAATGAGATACTACAGGTATTATTACTGTCCCCATTGTACAGATGAGGGAACTGAGCTCCCAGAGGAAGATGAACTCACAGCATTTTGTGGTGGCTAGACCACTAAACTTGAGGATCCTAGGTTAGGAACTGGAAGGTGCTTTGGGGATCATCCAGTCCACCCTTTCTCCTTTTTCTCTCTCTACCCCGCCATCTTGCAGCTAAGAAATAAGCTTAGAACAGTTAAGTGTCTTGCCCAAGATCACACAGCTACTGGAATCAGGAGTAAAATTTGAACCCAGATCCTCTGGCTCCAGATGGGCAGCTAGGTGGCACAGTGGATACAGTGCCAAGCCTGGAGTCAGGAAGACTGCTCTTCATGAGTTCAAATGTGGCCTCAGACACTTACTAGCTGTGTGACCTTGGCCAAGTCACTTAACCCTGTTTGCCCCTGTTCTTCATCTGTAAAATGAGCTGGAGAAGGAAATGGCAAACACTCTAGTATCTCTGCCAAGAGCACCCCAAATGTGGTCACAAAAGTCAGACACAACTGAAATGACTGAACAACAACAAAAATCTCTGCTTCCAGAATCAGAGCACTTTCTATTCCACTACTCAGGCCAACTTGGGTTCACCCTCTGATATTTGCTAGCTGTATTATCTTAAGCAAGTCATTTTGATTTTCTTAGCCTCAATTTCCTCATCTATAATATGGGGATAATTAATCTTGTAGTGCCCAGCTTGCAGGCTTGGTGTGAGGCTCAAGTGAGATAATAATTTATGTGCAACCATCTTTCAGTCTCTGCCCAGCAAGGCTTGGCCATGGAGCAGGAGCCAGGGAACTACCTGTGGTGGGTGACTTACCCAACATCCCCCTGGCTCTGATGGCCTTGGACTTGCCCTAGGAGTAAGTACCCAGAATGCCTTTGATCTTGAGGCTTAATGTGGCTTGTGAGAAGAGGGTTGATACAAGGGAAGACATCAAAGAGTGGTTATCGAGAACTGCCAGGGGTCCAGCCAGGAGGAAGCAGAGAAGAGGGAGGTGACCAGCAGTCAGGCCACAGGGATGAGAGAGGTGCCGAGTGCTGCCGTGCTGCCACCAGATGCCAACAAAGAGGAGCAGAGGGGAACAGAGCCAGGGATCTGCAGTCCTGGAGTCCCAGAACTGGACACTGCCCTCCTCCTGCACATCACCCTGCTTCATGCTGGTTCAACCCCTCACAGTTTGTAATGGCTCCTGTTTGGTGCTTTCCCTGGTCCTCTTCCCACAAACTCCTTCAATCCACAAGGCCAAGGGCATGTTGGGCATCTCTCTGAGACCAGAGCTCCAAAGACTAGTTATATTCATGAAGTTCTTTGCAAACTTCAAAGATTTACATAAATACCTGCTTCTGTTACTGAGCAGAAGCAGGACCCAAACTCTGTTCTAGCCTAGACTCCAAATCCATCCCTGCTCTCCTGCCCCACACTCACTTTTTCTTTGATGAAATTGTTCATGTTGAATCTGCACCAAAGCCAGCCCTCCAAGAAACCTGTCCTGCCCATTGTATGACCATTGTCCCTGCTCTGCTTTTCTCCTCACTACCCTGCAATTAGGGACTCAAGACTCTTCTTATTGAGGTTTTTCTCAGTTTCTCTATATGTGCTTAGCAGGACCAGTCACACATCCTGGAGAGGCTTCTGCTTCCTATTCCTCAGTCTGCCCTCTGCCTCCTCCCCCATCTTCTCTACTCCAGAAGAGTCAAAGTTGAGAAGGGCAGAGGTGAGGAGGGGGGTTGAAGGGGTGGCATGCAAAACTCCAGAGAAAGGCTAAACCAGATTAAAATATAATTGAGAAATGTTTAACAAAATAAATAAAAATACAGTACAACATGGATAATGCCAATTTGTGGCTTTCCAAGTCAGTATAGGGCTGACTGGGATCCATTTCTATCAAGTTTGATACCAAGGCTCTACTCTCTTCTCATTCCTCTAAGTGGTTCTGGGTATTGTTGGTAGTTGCTACACCCAGGGTTAGAGGAGTGAAGAGTCCTGCAGCTCAGCCGGCACATCAATCGGGTTTGGGGATTGGAGATGAGAGTTTGAGGGAAAACGTGAAAGGGGCTGTGTCCTGTTTCCTAGCTCCTCAGGTCAAACCACAGGCCTGAAGTCAAGCAGGGGTTTTAGGGTACACCTAGCCATCGTGTAGTTTTGTTGTTCAGTTGTGTCTGACCCTATTTGGGGTTTTCTTGGCAAAGATACTGGAGTGGTTTGCCATTTCCTTCTCTAGCTTATTTTACAGTTAAGAAAGCTGAGGCAAACAAGGTTAAGTGACTTGCCCAGGGTCACATAGCTAATAAGTGTCCGAGGTTGGATTTGAACTCAGGTCTTCCTGACTCCAGGCCCTGTTCTCTATCCACTGCTCCACCTATCTGCCCTCATGTGGTTACTTCTCTTGTATCTACTACTTCCCCACCCCTCTGCCACCGCCTTGCCACAGGCCTAGACTGTGTTGGCCCAGACACAACTCCCACAATGGGGCCTTGAGAGTGTGAAGTGAGACAATGTCTTCTCTTTTCTTACTAGGGATCAGTTCTAGGAAGAATTCTTCTCTTCCTTCCCTCCTGCTCCCTTGCTCCCCACAGCAAACTGGAGAGTTCTCCCCTTAGATGTTTACCAGCTAACCTTACGATATGTGTGGACAACCCTTTCTCCCATGAAGACTCCCTCCTTATTTCCCCTTTGATTCTCTTATCGCCCACGGCCTCCTCTGGTTGGTCCCAGTGGAGGGGAAATGGTAGCGAAGGTCTGGAACATAAAGTACCCTGCTAAAGGAGGACATGTACTTCTTTGTCCCTGTGTATCTTCCATCTTGATGACATTTTAGAATGAATGATGAAGTTCCACATTCAATTATTTAAGCTTTTATGGCAGCTAGTTTTACTTTTAAAGACTAGGCATTGTTTTAAAAAATGGATAGTGGTGTAGTGGATAGAGTACTGAATATGGGGTAATAATAATAATAATAATAATAATAATAATAATAGTCAACATTTATATATCGATTTAAAATTTGTAAAGTGCTTCACAAAATGATCTCATCTGATCCTTGAAATTAGGGGTAGGTGCTATTTTTATCCCCATTTTTATGTATGAGGAAACTGAGGCTGAGTGAGGTTAAGTGACTTCTCCAGGTCACAAAACTAGTAAGTGTCCAAGGCAGGATTTGAACTCAGGTCAGAAAGTTAGGAAGACCTGAATTCAGATCCTGCCTCTGACACATACTGATTGTGTGATCCTTGGCAAGTCATTTAATCATCCTGAGCCTTACTTTCTGTAGTTATAAAATGATGGGGCTGGACTTCCAGCTCTGTACCTATGATCCTATGGATCTTATGGACTTCTGAATATAAGTAGTTGAACAATCTGGGCTTTCATAGCCTCTATATCATTCTCCATTTCTTTTCCTTTAATATTCTGTTAATCCCCTGCTCTTTCCATTATGCAATACCACCTCTCAGACTTTACAGTGTTTTATTTTTATGATGAGTTTAATTGTCATTAAAAATTTAACTTTTTTTTTTTGGCTAGGCAATGGAGTTAAGCGACTTGCCCAGGGTCACACAGCTAATAAGTGTTATGTGTCTGAAGCCGGATTTGAATTCGGGTCTCCACTGCAACATCAGCACTGCCCCCCCCAAAAAATTAACTTTTTTAAGAGCAGAGAATCAGAGCAGGAAGAGACTTTGAAAGGCCATCTGATCCGACACCCTCTTTTTAGAGACAAGGAAACTGAGGTCTAGGGAAATGAATTGATTCTTCAAGGTTGTGTAGATAAGTGCTGGAATCTGGATTTCAATGCAGTTCCTCTAACTACAAAACTCAGGGCTCTTTCCTTTTCATCCAAACATCTCTGAGGAAGTGATTTGGAACATTTCTCTCTATCTCTTTCTGTGTGTGTGTGTGTGTGTGTCTGTGTGTGTGTGTGTGTGTCTGTGTCTGTATGCCTCTCTGTCACTCTGTCTCTCTCTCTCTCTCTCTGTCTCTGTCTCCATTTCTCTCTCTCTCACATAGACACAGCATTTCAGTCATGACTTGACTTAATTAGTTAGTTAATGGTGTGCCTTTGTTTTAATTAAAGTAGTCAGAGAGGGGATCTCTGAAGTGAATGAGCCAAGTTTAATCTATCAGCTGATCAGTTATTGCTGATAAGCATTTATTAAGCTGCTCAGAGAGAAGGTATCTCTGAATTATTTGTCCTAATTCAGTTAAGGGAAGCTTTTGGGGGTGGGGTGGGATGACAGGAGTTTTCGGAAGGACAGCAAACATCTCCCACACAGAGAAAAGGACAACTCCCGCTGTGGATGTGCTGGAGACTGGCTTGCAAGAGCCCATTGTTAAATTTTAGTGCGAGCATTTACATCTTGGAAATTGAGGAACACTACAGATTTAGGCTTGCTTAATTGTTTCATTGATTATCCAGACTTAAGAAAGTAATAAGGGGCAGCTAGGTGGCGCAGTGGATAGAGCACCGGCCCTGAAGTCAGGAGGACCTCAGTTCAAATCCGGCCTCAGACCAAACACTTGGCACTTACTAGCTGTGTGACCCTGGGCAAGTCACTTAACCCCAATTGCCTAAAAATGGGGAAAAAAGAAAGTAATAGAAAAAAATGTTTAATAATACAAATTCAAATTAAAAGTGTGTCCTGCATATATTTTCCCTCCCAGAAAGGGAATTCTTAAACATTTAGCAGCATACCTTGATTATAACAGAACCAGGTTGTAGTTAAGCCTGAGAAATCATATGAAGAAACAACTACTTGATAATTTTGCCAGGGGTAATCACTCTGTTAGAAAAGAAAGCTATTGGCCCAGAGATTCTGGCATCCCAGATTCTAAACCCCAAGGGATAGTAGAGCCCATCAGGCAAGGTAGCGTTTTGATCATTTCCCACATGGCTCCCAGAATGCAATAATAGGTCTTGGCTTTCCAATGTGTGAATGCACTTACTTATTGCTGAAGACTTTGCTGTAGTTGAATACTTGGATCTCTAGCATCTCACTGCCATCGATGTTACTGCCAACTGGCCATCGGAAGGTCTAGAAGAAGAGAGAGAGAGAAAGTAGTCTAGAACAAGCATTATAGGGAAGGGTGTCTTGGAAAGATGAAAAGGAACATGTCCTAGGGACTCTATGGTGTGTATGTCTTTAATCTATCTCCTGAGCTTACATGGAAGAAGTCTTATCTTAGGGGCAGCTGCCTCAAAACAATATTATTTCTGTGACTTACTTTGTAACCCTCCCATTATAAGTTTACTATGAGGAATCTCAGAAATCTCAGAATATACCTCATGTATCAGTCTCCACATATGAAAGTAGAAGGCTCTTTAATGCCTTTATAAACACTCAGAGTAAGATTGTCTGTTGTGCATAGGATATTATTTCATCCCATGGAAAAAGCAGACAACATATAAAAGGTTCACAGTGGCTTGTAAACAATCAAAACAATTGTCCCTCTCTGAAAATTCTACCTTTACCTTGAGGCCTATTCAGGCTTATAGATTCAATGCTGGCCTATGGCTTAGACTTTCTTCAGAAGATATATAAACCTAGGCTTGCTTGTGTGGAGCCCCACCTTAACAGATCAGTTCGCCTCAGAGACCCAAACAAGCATGTAGTCTTACGGTACTACTTAGACCATTCTGAATCTCCTGGAAGGAAAATGAGCTTGGGTATGATAGAGCAGCAACTTCTCTTCCTCTGGGACCAACACTGTCCGAATGACTTATGGTGGCATCACAGGGCAAAGTCTAGAACTTTTACTCCTCCATATTTGGATTAATCCTTTACTACTCTTCCAGTTTTGGGGACCACATGTATAATCCTCTTTTCCTTAAGACTCTAGTACTGCCCAAGAATTCTCCCATCTTTCTCTTGAAGGTTAGATTCCAGAATATAGATTTCAGGCACTCTCCTTTCTGGTCGTGTGGGTGAGAATACATTGAATTATTAGTAGCGATTGAAGTATATGGGAGTGAGGCTATTCATATACATGGGCTTCCTGCCCACCTTCAGATCTCATATTAGCACAGAAAATGTGAAGTGAAAGACCAAAAAACGTTTGACCCCAGCACAATGAGTTGATTCCTCTTATAGCAATTCTCTTCTAATTATTCTACAATTGAGACAAATGTGGACATGGGCACGTCCATACCCCTCATAAGGAGATGAAATCAAAATCCCAAGCAGAAGCTCACCTGCTTATAAATTAATCAGGTTGATCAGTGAACTCCCCTGACCAAAATCTACATGGAATAGTAATTTTTTTTAGTGTTGAGGAAGGAAGTATGTTCAGGGATGGGTTTGGAAGTGAATGTGGTATCCCAGGGAAGGTTAATGCACTTCTACATGCCTAGTCTTTTAGGGGGAAAGTGTCTTGGGTATCCCAGGCTATGAATATGCCTGGTAATTTGGACCAAATGAAGTCACTAGATAGAGACAAGTTGTGTGAATAGACTGTTTGGGCTTCCTTGTTCATCCTTATTCAAAGCCATTTCTTGGAGTAGATGAAACTGAGGTGGGCCCCGACCACTTGAGACCCCCAAACAAGCTTGTAGAGTAATAGAATCAAGAAGATTAAAAGGAGAAAAGAATCTTGGGGGGGCAACTAGGTGGCCCAGTGGATAGAGCTCTGGCCTTGGAGTCAGGAGGACCTGAGTTCGAATCTGGCCTCGAACACTTGACACTTACTAGCTGGGTAACCCTGGGCAAGTCGCTTAACCCAGATTGCCTCACCAAAAAGCTTAAAAAAAAGAATCTTAGAGATTATTTACTCCATTTCTCTACTCCCTCATTTAAAATTATTTTTTAATTTTCCTGTTTTGTAAATGAGGGAAACTGAGTTTAAGTAAGTTGTGACTTGCTCAAGGTCAATAACAATGACAAACAAGGTCACACAAATAGTAAATCTCTTTTTTTTAAGGCAACTGGGGTTAAGTGACTTGCCCAGGGTCACATAGCTAGTAAGTGCCAAGTGTTTGGTCTGAGGCCGGATTTGAACTGAGGTCCTCCTGACTTCAGGGCCGGTACTCTATCCACTGTGCCACCTAGCTGCCCCAATAGTAAATGTTAGAAGTGGGATTTGAACCCAAGTCCTCTGAATCTAGAGTCTGTACCCTTACTACCATCCTATGCCCTGAATCACAAAAGGTAGGATTATACATCTGGAGCTGGAAGAGACCTTGGAGCTCAACTGGATCCCCCTTCCACCCCACCCCCACCCCCACCCCCATCCCCTTTTACGGTTGAGGAAACTGAGACTAAGAGTTTGATTTCTTGTTGTTCAGTCATGTCTAACTCTCCATGACCCCATTTAGGATTTTCTTGGCAAAGACATTGGAGTGGTTTGTTATTTCCTTCTCCAGCTCATTTTACAGATAAGGAACTGAGGCAAACAGGGGTAAGTGACTTGCTCAGGGTCACCTAGCTATTAAGTGTCTGAGGTCAGATTTGAACTGAGGAAGAAGAATCTTTCTGACTCCAGGCTCAGCACTCTGTCCACCTGCCACCTAGCTTACCCAATGTCATACAAGTAGTAAACATAGGAGAATTTGAACCTAGGTCAAGGAACTTTGGAACCAGAGCTCTTTCTTCTGTATCATGATGCCTCTTGAGGTTAAGCGACTTGCCCCAAATCACATAACTGATTAGTAGCAGAACATGGACCAGGACCCAGAGACAAATCATGTCTTAGCAGGCCTCCTGAACTCCCCATCATTCACCCAGAGTAGCCAGGTTAGAAAGCAGTAAGAAATGGAAAAACAAGAAATTGCAAAAATGAAGATAGTTCAGTGAAGGCAGTCTTGATGGCTTTTTGGCAAGAAGGGAGATACATTATGAATTTGGGAAGGAAAATTATAAGATCTGAGTATTCAAGCCTGGACAATTTGTAAACAGGCCTTCCCCCAATGGGTCAGGCTTCATTACGCAGCTTCTTCAATTCCTGCTCTTTATGTTCTTAAGGCAAGGCTCTCATCTACAGAATCTGCAGTTTCCTTAATGAAGCTGATTTTATCATTCGATGGGGAAATAAGACATACCTCAGGAAAAGCTAAGCCAGCTGCCTCAGGGAAAAAAAAACTAACAAAAAAAGAAGGAAAAAACCCTGTGTACTCATGAATCCAGAGCTTTGGAAGGAGACCAGTTTTTCTATATCAGACCATCACAGTCATAAAGAGGGGCAGAGTGCTGACTGCAGCTTACATATTTACTTCATCTGAAAAGCACTGAGGACAGGATGCAGCTGACAATCCCAGCTAGGGAAGAGGGAGAGGCTTAGGTTGGATTGGTAGATTGAGAAAATGGTTCAGTGAAATCAGTAAAGGCCTGAGGGATTTAGGTTGCTTCATTTAATTAAATAAATAGGAAAGCAACTTCTAAGGGCATTTTGAGAGGACTCTATCTTCTGTAAAATCACAGAATCTAAAGTAGGGAACATACGTAAAGGGCTGTATTGAAGGCATGTTTATAAACTAGGAATCTCTCCAGAGATTGAAGAAAGAAGCAATTCTTCCTTTTTCCCTAGATAGGAACTCAGAGGACATCTAAGGCCTTTCTTATTTCTTCCTTCCCTGTAGTTGTTAGCACTCTCTCTCACTTAAAATTTGTTTTTTCTTCTTTCAATTAGAGAAAGTAAAAGAGAGAAAACAAAGACTTGTCATTTGGGGGAAAAGCATATCATTTCATTTAAATTTTGTGTGTGCTTGCTTGTGTACAAATTGTATTTTCCCCTGCCCCTAGAATATGAGCTCCTTGAGGTTAGAGACTTTCCCACTTTTGTTTTTGCATCCTGAGCACTTAGCACAGTGCCTGGCACATGGAAGGTGCTTAATAAATGCTTTTTGAAATGAAGCTTCAACCCCATACCTGTTGTAGGAATTTCTCTATAATATCCCCTAAAAGTGGTCATCCATTCCCTACTTAAACCCTTCATGCTACAAACTTCTCGTAACCTAAAGAGGCAGTCCATTCCACTATCCATTATATAGCTGTAATTAAGTATCTTCATTTTGATGATATAAATTTGCCCTTTAATCCATGGGTTTTTACTCCTCATTTTGGTGACAAGTAGAACACATCTAATCATCGAACAAGCATTTATTTATTGTGTTTACTTTGTGCCAGACACAGCTCAGGCAGCTAGGTGGTGTAGTGGATAGAACGCTGAGCCTGGAGTCAAGAGAACTCATCTTCCTGAGTTCAAATCCAGCCTCAGATGCTTACTAGCTATGTCACCCTGGGAAGTCACTTAGCCCTGTTTGCTTCAGTTTCCTCGTCTGTAAAATGAGCTGGAGTAGGAAATGGCAAGTCACTATGGTTATCTCTGCCAAGAAAACCCCCAATGGGGTCAGGAACCCTTGAACATGACTAAACAACAATGTGCCAGACGCAGTGTTGGATGCTAAAAGATAAAAATAAAGTAGTTCCTGCCTTTAAGGAACTGACGTTTTACAGGAAGGAGATAATGCGTACACAGAGAAGCGAATACAAAATATATACAAGGTAGCTATAAAGTTAAAAAATTGGGGAGAGGCAAAGGGCGTTAACAACTGGTGGGAATAGGGAAAAGTCACATGACAGTTTTTCAAAGAAATCCCAATAGTTATTTGAAAACAATAATCATACAATTATAAAATAACTGACTCTCAGGGGTTTCGGGGGCCATCTTGTCCACTCTGGACAAGATTCCATTCCACTATCTCCCCAAGGTCTTTTCTAGGCTAGACATCTGAAGTTCCTTTAATCCTTCAGTAAACTACTTCCAAGACCCTTCACCATCCTAGTTATCCCCCCTGGATACGTTCCAGTTTGTCAGTTTGTTTTTCTTGTTCAGTCTTGTTCAGTCATGTCTAACTCTTCATGGCCTTATTTGGGGTTTTCTTGGAGAAGATATTGGAGAGGTTTGCCATTCCCTTCTCCAGCTCATTTTACAGATGAGGAAAGTGAGGCAAGCAGGGTTCAGTGACTTGCCCAGGGTCACACAGCTAATAAGGCTGGATTTGAACTCAGGTCCTTCTGACTCCAGGCCTGGTGCTCTATCC